TCTAAAAGTTTTAGATAAAATTCCCATTGAGTTCAGATAGAATAATGAGATTTTTTCCAGTCACAACTAAAAGGGTTCAGCTATTTGCTAATTAGCAGCAGTAAAAGAGTAAAAGTAGACTGATTATTGAAAAAAAGACCAGATTTAGAAATGCTGAAGTTTTGAAATTAAATTCTAAAAACAGGGACAGAATTAGGGAAGAGAAACATTTATTGCAACATTCATGTTTGTGTAGCTGGACAGTATAAACCAGTTAAAATTTCATTGTGTCATATATATTAATTATTCACAGTTAGCATTTTGTTTTTAATCCTGGATTTTACCTCTTTAGTTCTCACCATCATGCTGGCGTTTGTACTGCTACAAATCTGATGGTAATGTGGTGCCCTTTCCTCTTGAATCCATAGAAACCAAGGGTTTTATGGGACACTATAAACTGAGGGAAATTCTGCTGCTGCACTCCTCCTTAAAAATGTTAAAAAGCACAGTTACGTTTTGTGGGCTCTGAGAATTTGTTGTTCTACACAGTTGTCTATGACTAAGCCAAACCAGCACAAACAGCTGATTCTGGGTCAGTGTAACATTTCAATACACCGTTAGCACATACAAAAAGCACTGAATTCATGGTTGATAAAGGTTAATTTTCAAGACTTATCATTTACTTGTGTGTGCTTCATTAAACCATTCTTTTCTTTAATATTTGAAACTTTGATAATCCGAAGCAGCACTTGACTATAATTCATAATTTATAATTCATAAATCATAATTTAAAAAAACACTGAATATGCAGGCATAAATTAATTGATAACCTGTAATTTAGTTTTAATTAGGAACCCTTATTACTATCCTCACTCGATGAATGGGTGTGCTGATTAAGTGCCAGATTTAAGCAATATTCTCATTTATATCCTTTGCACACTTGCCCATACACACTGCAGGGATCACAGAACTGGGGGCTGCATCGATCATCTTTATAGTCCACTAAGTAAAACCCTGCCTAACAGGCATGTTCTAGTACTTTAATATAATAGAAAAGCAGGTCAAGCTGTTCAAGGAACAAAATCAAAACAAATGGAAAAAAGAGCACAGAGAGCACAAAACTAATGTAGTGCTGCAGGATGAGTTATGAGATGCAGGTGGAGATTATATACATCTAATGAAAAGTGTCCACTTACAGTATATGATGCAGATATTTCAGGATTTGTCCTAACTTTGGCTAATAGGCACATTATAATTGAAGGCTGTGTTATGAAATAGCTCCTCTTGTCTGTTTTTCAGTGGCGCACAGTCTATAATGCAGAGAATAAAAGCCAAGAGACTACAAGCTTCACAAGCAAATGTGTTTGAAATGCAAATGAGCACAAATAATTACACTGTCATATATTTTTTCCTGCAAGAAACTTTGTTCAAATGTGTTGTTTTCTTGCTTTTATACACTGTTACACAGCCCTCCTAGTCAAACAAGCACACAAACAAAACAATGTGGATGTTTGGATCCAGACAATAATTGCAAACATGCAGTGACAGGAGTTTCACACCAACTTATCCCATCTGCTAGCAGAAGGTTAGACCAAGAATAAGTGTAATTTATTGACTCAGAGCAAGCCTCCAACATATTTGCGCCTCAGAAATCCTTGGTCTCACGCTACTTTATGTAAGAATGATTCTAATAGCTTCCAGTGGGCTAGACTATAAAAGGGAGAGTTGAGGACTTTCTTAGAAATAATAATTCCTTCATGTGCCACGTGGATAGCTGGAGTTCTGATTGGGAAAGGGGTGGCCAAAATCAGATAAAAGCCAACTGTAATTGCTGACACAGTTGAGTGAGTGCCTTGGGGCAAAATGACCCCCCACCATCAGCTTGAACCATAAAAAAGGGCTGGCATCCTGCTGAAGGGGCTGTGTGGTGTCATGAGTAAGGTTTCCTCTGTTCTCATCTTCACTTCACTCACAACAACTTTAGAAGAGTGTTGCCAGTAGTGATGTGCGAATCGATACTGAAATATCGATTCCTCCGATACCAGTCATTTATGTTCTAGAATCGATTCTCATATTAAAATATCGATATTTTGGTAATTTAGGGTAAATTTGTAGTTTATCTTTAACAGGAACACAGTGGAAAGAAACTATATAATTGTCTACTTTTGAAGGAACTACTTCATGTTCCGCCTTTCATAGTCATGTGTGAAATACGGCTGTATAAATGTGTCGCAGCCCCTTGGCGTGCGCACTCACAACAATGACTGAGCGTAAATGGAGTCATGCATGGATGTATTTTACCTCCACAAACAGCCGAGACGTGGTTTGCGATACATGTGGCAAGACAGTGAGGTGTTGTGGCAACACCACTAACCTCATCAAACACCTCAGGGTAAATCGTATCACAGAATATGACGAGTGTATGTTGAGGCGAACTGAAGAGGAGGAGAGGGACAGGTGGTACTAGAGGGAGACAGACGTCTCTCACGGAGTCCTTTAGTGCTACAGGCAATGTTTTCAAATAGGCACAACTTCAGTTTTTTTTATTTCTGTATGATAATTCTGCATTATTAAGCGATAAGAACAAGTAGTCTGATGTCCCGTAATCATTATGAAGCTATAATTTGAGATACAGTAAAAGATACAATAAATAAAATATGTTTTTGTACAAAGTATCAGTATCGGATCAGTATCACTGATCCCACCCTGAATTTTACTTGGTATCGGATCGGAAAGGAAATCAGTGGTATCGCACATCACTAGTTGCCAGGGTTGTTTTGGCATTTTTTTCTGAGCCCCTTATTTGCTGGATAAGTGCAGTACTACTTGTAGTATGTTAATAAATCACAGTGTATCTTAAATGGAGCCTACTATATCTTCTTTATGTCCTTATCTGTCAATAATCAATTCTAAAACTCTTTTCTCTTGTCCTCCCTCTGCCTTCTCACACTCGTCTTTAGGTAACAAGTTTTCATATGTCCATGCATGCCTGCTGGTTGCAGGCATCTGGTGCTACGCTGGAGTCTTTGCTGTCGGTCCCCTGTCGGGCTGGGGAGAGTACGGGCCTGAGCCTTATGGTACAGCATGCTGCATCAACTGGCATGCGCCGAACTATAATTCTGCAGCTATGAGCTACATCATCTGTCTCTTCTTCTTCTGCTATATTTTGCCCTGCACTATAATTTTTCTTTCCTACACATTCATCCTGCTGACTGTCCGTGGCTCACACCAGGCTGTGCAGCAGCATATGTCCCCACAGAACAAGATCACCAATGCACAAGCGCTTATCGTTAAGGTACGTGCATTATTTTCTTTTCAAATGACTTATACTAAATATTATTTCCTTCATGAATTCATGTTTGCATTGCATGTTATTTGCTGTGTTGTGTCTATTTTTTAGCTTTCAGTGGCAGTTTGCATCGGTTTCCTGACAGCATGGAGTCCATATGCTATTGTGTCTATGTGGGCAGCGTTTGGTAACTCAACAACTGTACCACCTATAGCTTTTGCTGTGGCAGCTATCTTTGCCAAGTCCTCCACCCTTTACAACCCTATCGTCTACCTGGCTTTCAAGCCCAATTTTCGCAAGTCCTTGTGTCGAGATGTGGCGAATTGCAGAAGGAGACTCTGTGGATGTTTGTGCCAGGGTGGCTCTGCAGAGAAGGGAATTTGCAGGCAGTCCCATCACAAAGAAGAATGCAACTCTACAAGGTTATCCAATGGGTTACCAGAGAACCACAGGACCTGCAGACACTGTCCTTGCCCAGAAACAGACAACGGTAATAGAGAAAATTGTATAGACTACAGTCCTCAGCAAACCGCCAGGATTCTTCAAGGATCCGTACACAGTGAAGTGGCTGTCAGCCAGCTCTCCAATGAGATGCAGAGTGACTTTCTCTAGAGGAACAAGTGGAAAATGAAGTATGAAGCAAAAAGTGGCACGAATGAAGCCCAAATAACAGTAAGTGCAAGTTGGGGGGAAAGTGAAAATGCAATCAAACAAACAAAAATGGTAAGAAAGAAAGAAAGAAAGTGTACTTTATTGGTCCCCGTGGGGAAAATCGCTCTCTGCATTTAACCCATTCACTCAGTGAAGCAGTGGGCAGCCATAAGACTGATTTAAAAGAAATAAAAAGTTTAAAACTACTTTCATGCCTCAAATATGTGATACTGCCAAAAAGAAATATGTGGTTAAAAGCCAATACAGGAGGATAAGCAAGCCAAACATTTCACTGGTGTGTGCATCAGCATTTTATCAGGTCAAATGAACAAGTGTCAGCAACTATGTGATCAGTTCAAGTGTAAACCAAGACTGAAGAGTCACCATGCAAGTCATTTTACGCTGGGCTTGGAGGGAGGAACTGACGATGAAACTTCCTACTCCCTGAACCACATTTTATCTGTTTATTATGAGTACTGTATTTAAATATTATGTATTTATGTATGCCTCAAATTGAAGGACCACAGGGTTATTGTTGTTGTTGTTGTTGTCTTTGTTGTTGTATCTAAAATGAAAAGAGTGCTTTCACCTCATTGTCGAGGAGAAATCAAAACCTCTACTCCTATAGTTAAAGCAGACACTTTGGGTGTTAATACAAAGCACTTAGGGAAAGATTTGGTTTGGTGAGCCACCTTTTTGTCCAGAAGGTACATCTGCAAGGAGGAGATGTTGTCTTCTATTTCCATTTTTCCTAGTCACCTCTGTCCAGGCAAGAAGATTTTGATGGAGTGGAGAGTGTCAGCTGTTTAGGCATTTCAGCCATTTTTTATAATAAGCCCTTTTTCAGTGACTCAAAAGTAATTGGACTAACTAACATAATTTTATTGTTTTCAATACTTCGATGAAAATACGCTGCAGTCAATCATTGGCTGAAATCTAGAACATGGACGTCACCAGGTTGTTGATTTCACCGCTCCTAATGTTTTTTCTGATAGAACTGAAGAGGTGAAAAGTCTTCATGCAACATCTTCACAAAACTTAAAGAAGTTCAGCCACTTTCTTTCCAAGCTCCTTAGACTATCTCTCTGATAGATTTTATATGACTTTTTAGGCTAATCTACAATGAAAATATCAACATTTAGAGTGAACAGCTACCAAAAAGCATGTTCAGCTCCAATTCTTTCATCAATTTTAATTTGTCGTAGAGTAACGATGGAACAGGTCTCATCTGGGCATGAAACCTTTTGACAGTAAATTGTCCAGTTACATTTGAGCCTCTAAAATTGAGGGACATATAAAGTTGAAAAAAATAAAATAAAATACAATACAATAAAAATGACTGTAATTTCTGAACTTAAACTTTAGGTTATTGCAGTTACTTTTGTTAAACTTCTTGTCTGATTTAAAACTCGCCGTGATGGTGTGCAGAGGCAAAATTGCCAAAAAAAAAGAAAACACTGTCCAAATACTTATGGACACTAACTGTTTGTGATCAGAACTACATTGAACTCTGTCAGTGATTCTGTTTGGGTGGTTTTAGCACTTTCTGAAGACCAGTTTAAAAGAGCAAAAATAAATTTCTTTGTGCAGAATTTCTGCTGCAAATGAATTAGTATCTTTTATGACATTAACTGTGGAAAAGACTCATTAAAAGGCTGATTGATGATTTATTTATCTTGAATTCCGAGCCTGGGATTATAAGGTTGCCTTTGGTGGCAGAGCTGGGTCATATTTTCATTCTTTTCAAAAGGAAGAAGAAAAAATAAATAAATAAAATGAAAAAAAAAAAAAAACACCTGCAGCATTTAGAACTTAAAAGCTTATTTTTCATATTTTGGGTTAGGATTTTTTTTCATGTCACAGAAGCATCTCTACAATGTAGCCCAACTAGCCAAGGAAAAAGTGAGATGGTTATTTGGTTTAAAACAAGCACTTTAGGAAAACAAACTTTTTCATTATCTTTGGTTGCCTTAGGGCTTGGAAAGAGGCTTTAATCAGGGTACTAAAAAAATGTTGTCCTGTTCCAAATTTCCGCAAATAAACAAGTTAGTGTGTTATTATTACTGGCTTCACTGAGCAAACCTATGAGACTAAGACCCAAAATTGTAATAAAGCTGAGCGATCTTTTAATCAGAGCCATTTTAACAAAATGGGAGAAAAAAGCCTGCCTGTGGATAGAACGCTTGCCTTTAGTGCTTCTTTTGCTTGTTTTTAATGTGAGAGACACAAGGCTTTGCCTCAGCACCCATCAACATTATTTTAATAAAAAATTTAAAAAATTAAAAAAAAAGCATAGTGAGGATGGATGAGGTTAACTGAAATGTTTGTCCAACAAGCAATTTTATACCACCTCCCTCCCGACAGCATAGGCCATCAACTCAAAAGTACAAAACGACCTGCCATGGGCAAAATTAATTGGATGTGCTGGAGTGCAACTTGTGATTAACTGGCATGACTTTGATACCACGATTCCTTTCTTACAGAAAGGCTGAGACCGAAGACTGCAGTTCTGTGCAGTTTACACACAAGCGCGCGCACACACACAAAAACTACAAAAGCATTTCAGATTTTCTGCTTTCACGTTCAGTTTGGCATGGAATAATTAGCTTAAAGTCATGCAAAACAACCAGGTCAGCACATGTGGTGCATTCTGCTGTTTGCTACAATAACTCCTCTAGCCTCAGTCGGGACAGTTTATGGAGAAATGGATTCAAAATTACTAATACCACCTGAACTATAATACTCCACATGGGCTTTTCACAAGACACTTAGCCCTGGGCTTAGACGCTTGTTAGCTCAAGGCTTATTTCTCAGTTGTGAACTTAAGTTGTGTTCAGGCTGACATTAGCATTGCTCAGTTTGCTGAGGCTAGAACACTGATACGTGGGAGATTCAGCAGAATTATGTACTTCTCTTTTTGGTGTTGTGCATGTAAAACTTTGTGGTGAGGTCTATTGAATATGAAAATGAATATGCACAGCCGCACACAATATTATTCAAATGTGGATGATGCCGAAAACAGCAGCTGCACAGTATTTCCTCACTTGCTCTGGCACTGTGCACAGGCAGTAAACTGTATAACCTTGGACAAGCCAGGAAAGAAAAGGAGGGGGAAGTCCAATTTATTTTAAGCAGCTTTAATAAAATTGTCCCAAAAAACACTGCCAAACTTATTAACTATTTCAAAATCCAGGAATTTTTAAAAATATTAGCAGAATTCTTTCTGAAACACGTATGAGCACTGTGAATCCAGGGAGTTTGAATAAATTAAAGTAAGTCATACTTACTTATATATGTCACAGATATGAACGAGTGCCAGATTCTCCACCTTTAAAGAAATTACTTCTACAAAGAAAAGACACAAGTTAGGGCAGAATAGTGATTAAATGTGATAACTCATTAGATACTCATTAAATATGTGACAGCAATGCAGAATATGAGAGAGGTAGGTTGCAGAAGCATGTCTCATAGTGTTGTAATTCTAACTTTTGTCTCGGTGTTAGGAATTACTTCACAGTTTTTTGCCATCTGATGGGACTCATCTATTACTTAAACCAGCTTTGCATGAATATGTTACTCAATCAGATCCACTACTGACTTTATGATTAGTTTAGTTTTATTTATTAGTTAGTCACATCTTATTAGTTTATTGAATATATAATTTCCTACAATATTCATTAACTACAATGTCATTAAGATAAGGGAAGGCCATAAGTATGATTGTATCCATTTTGGTTATGCGACTAATCAAAGCTAATAAGGTCAACACTTTCTGCATCGCATAAAAACTCTCTCCCACACCGACACTAAAGATCAGTCAGGAGGTACTTTAATGCGATATGATGCTAGGTTGATGCGTCTTCATCCTCGTGCAACACACCACCAACAGTGCAGCCTTTTGCGTTTTCTACTGCAGTGCTGTTTCCTGGCTGAACACCAAATGACAGCTGCTTCAGTCTCTAAAGTGGGATAACCCCAGGCAACCTTCAGCTCAGAGTTTACAAAGCCCAGATCTGTAGTATTTGCTGTGATATAACTCTGATTGTTCTTAAAACTATTTTGTGAGGTTTCGCGAGAATAAAAGCAATGGAAAATCTCGAGTCTGGCCATATTAAAAGAGTTATACACGTCAAGTGTTGTGAAGTTCAAGTTTGAGAATCTTTTGAACCTGGAGCTAACTGTGAAATGAGGTGAGGAAAGCCTCGGGCCGTCTGGAGCTCGAGTTTATTTCAGCTGACTCATGTACATGTGAAAACTTGCTCCCTTTGCAAAGACAACAACAGGCTCTCCACAGACTCATAGAGTCAGTTTTTTATTTTTTATGAGGATGTTGTAGACAACATTATCTTCAGCTTTTCATTTATATATCAAAGATTTCCTGGCTGTTCAGGGTAAGCAGCTCATTGCTGTTTCTTGCTCCACAACCTCCAGGTTGGAAAAAAAAAAAGTGACACAAAGCCTTTGAACTGTGTGCAGGATGGTATGGTAAACATTTCCTAGAAAGAAACAAATGATTGTACTTATTTTTCTGTTATGTGACTAATGATGGTGGTTTCATAGTAACTATAACATTTTAAACATGAGAAAAGTAGTATAAAAACTGAAGTGTGTGAAGTTTCTGCTTGTCATGCTGCAACCAAAGGTTACAGTCACCTTTACACTAACTGTCAAAGCCAAAAAAATACTGTCTTGGACTGTCATATTTTTCTACCAATATCCAGGTTAACATAATAAAAAAGAAAAGAAAATGAAAAACAACATATCAAAGACTCGGCTTCAACTCCAGTGCTTGATAGGCTCTGTTTTGCCCACAGTCTTTGGGCAAAAAAAGGACATTCAAAACAGGAAACATAACTGTGAAAATCTGATTCTGATGTCTATTTTTTCTATTCTGTTCTACTCTATGAACAAATATTGCAAGTACCTAGGTGTGCAGTCTGTACTACTAGCCATTCACCTGGGTAATCTACACTGACTTTACTCCTTCAAATAATATTGCATTGTATATATCTGACGTCAGGGATTTCATGTCGATTGTTTGCATGGATGAAGATAATACGTGTTTGTACAAATGCCTAA